TGTAAATAATGTCCCGAGAGCTTCCTTCGCTTCAATGCAATCGCATTCAATGTTTTTCACAGGACTGCGCGGCTTGATGATGGCAGTTATGATGGCTGCTCTGATGAGCTCTCTGACGTCAGTGTTCAACAGCGCCGCCACCGTATTTACCATGGACATATGGAGACGTCTTCGAAAAGGAGCGACTGAAAGAGAACAGCTTATTGTCGGAAAGTAAGTTTAATATCATAGTTTTGAAATTATGTATCAACTCCATAGATCCTTCAATAACTTGAATCCTTTTTTGCAGGATATTTGTGCTTATTTTGGTGGGAATAAGCATTCTGTGGATTCCTTTGATTCAGGCTGCCCAACAGGGACAACTGTTTCTCTACATACAGGCTCTCACAGGTTATATAGCTCCACCTATTTGTTCTGTATTTCTACTAGCAATATTTGTACCCAGGGTGACCGAAAAGGTATGATACAAATAACCGCTCCTTTCTATCAGGATTTTCCATTTGTACTGGAATCTTCAAATGTACCAGCATTTCCATTTTCTATCCATTCTTTTAAAGGGTGCCTTCTGGGGTATGTTGGTGGGTCAGATAAGTGGACTAATAAGGATGGTTCTAGATTTCGTGTATCCCTCACCCGGCTGTGGCGAACCAGATAACCGTCCAGCAGTTGTTGCCAAAGTCCACTTCACGTACTTTGCCGCCCTGATTTTGATTCTTACTGCTTTGGTTGTAATTGTTGTTAGTCTTTTAGAAAAGCCAAAGAAAAACAACTCGGTAAGTGATCTTGTCAAATACCAACACATATAAAATTGCTCCTCCATTAAAACGGCAAATGTTTTTACTCAATGTGAATGAAAAACCATTAAAAATACATATTTGATCTTCTTACCCTTAGATAAAAGGATTGACGTATTGGACAGTTGAGCACGTAAGACCTCCACCGAAGGAAAACGCATTTATTCCTGAAACCGTCTTGAATGATGAAGAAATATCAGTCCAAGAAAGTGACGACAAATATGTAACTTATTCAATGAAAGACATTGTAAATGAGGCTTACCAAAGCGACGAGAGTGTTGAAGAACAGGTGAACATATCTCAGGATGAAGATAAATTCAAAGAGGAGCTCAACCAAGTCCAGGTTCAGGAGACCATTTTTACTAGTGTTGAAAGGGAACGTCCTGCTCTGAGGAGGACGAAATCTAATCGTGACGCCGTGTTTGACAAAGTGGTCAGACAGAGTCAAACTGAAGAAACGGTTACAGAGTACAGAGTGGAAAACGCTCCCGAAACGACCGATACAGGGAAGGAAGAGACGAGGGAACTCGGAGAGAGAACGGTGGAGTTAAGAAATAAAAGGATCAGAGTAAAAAGTAAGTAGTTCTTTTTTTTAGCGAACAAAAAAAAATTATTTATACGAAGCAATGGATTATACAATTTAATCATAATTTTAAAAAGGCATAAAGGTTTGAAATTTTGATTTAATATTACTTATAAAATAATGTGTATGTCCTTGATGATTTCTTCATTTCCATAATTCATTTGTATTTGCTTATTACTTATGGGAATGCCATTCAAGGGTAATGCGTTAAAAATTGAAATTTCTTGGGACGTATAGTCTGAAAAGGGTCATTGTAACAATTTATAAACCATTCATTATCTTTGTCTTTAGAAAGTTCCTATGCTAGTGATATGTCACTGGAGATCCATTCAGAATTCTTAAAAAGAAAGAGTGAGGTGGAGAAAGCTCAAGAGTTAGAAAAGATCGAGGAGCTTAAAAGACAAGCAGAAATGGAGAGACAGCGTGAAGTGGAACGCCAACGGGAAATAGAGAGACAGAATGAACGAAAACGGCTGAAAGAAATAGAGCTCCAGAAGGAAAGGGAAAGAATGGAAGAGTTACAAAGGATTCGGGAACAACAAAGGATTCAGGAGTTACAAAAGATTCAGGAAATTAAACGCAAGGAGATGGAGAAAAGAGAAATTGAGGCTCAAAGGAGGAGAGACAACATGGACAAAGTTCAAAACCTGCTGAGAAATAAACTATACATCAGTTCTAAATTTGACTTCTTCCTTAATCTGAATGCTGTTATTCTTTTGTGTGTGTTTGTATTCTTGTACTGCATTTTTGCATGATCTAAATGTTGTATTCAAGCATTTACATGTGTGTGTTTTTTCTGTGTCCCTTTATCGAAGCATTACCTCCGTCAATGCACTCACAATATATACTACTTCAGAAAGTGCGAGTATGAAACTGTGGATGGGTTAGCCTTCTAAACAACTATGAAAGGTGCTTTTCTGGCATTAAAAACGACAACAACACAATTAACTTTCAAATGTTATTTATTAACAACAATTAGAGAACTAGTGCTAATTGTAACGGGGACCGTTACAGATGTTCCCCAAACGCTCCCCAACTCTCTTTTTGTGCCATATTCCCTGTAAGCTTCATTGAATAAGACAAACTCTATGCATTTAAGACTTTAACAACGTTTATACAGAAGTATACCGAGTTCATTCAAATTTTAGCATTGCACGCGTGTGCATGTGAATGCATATGCGTAATGACCATATCATCTTGTCTACACAATCTATATATTTTAATATACTAAATATTAAAGTATTTAATCCAAAAGTATTAAATCATACGCTCATTCAAGTGTATTTTTGATTTTACTCATTTCACGTGCACACACGTGCATACATGAGCATGGTAACCATACCTTCTTGTAGAAGTCTATAACATCTATCTATGTTCTAAATCCCACCCCGTTTGGTTGAAAACCAAGGGAGTTGTAGGTGTTTAAAGTTTCAACCAATCAAATTGCAGCACACGTACATGCACTTGCATGATGTCCATGGTGACCATACCTTCTTGTAGAAGTCCATTATATCTATCTATGTTCCAAATCCCATCCTGTTTGGTTGAAAAACAAGGGAGTTATAGCTATATAAAGTTTCAGCCAATCGGATTGCAGCGCACGTGCATGCACGTGTTTTCATGATAATTGCTATATATCAGGTTGTATGATATCCTAATGCAGGGCTATGTTCAAAATTTCAAAGGATTTCGTTAAAAAACAAGAAAGATATTGACACTTTAGTTTCAAATCAGTGCATGCGCGTGATTTACCATGTGATATTGTCTAACTAATGTATCCTTATATTATGAGTTTCAAATCATTTAATCAAAAAGGTAAAAAGTTACGCCTATATCAATTAAATCGGTCATTTCACGTGTTGCACGCGCACGCTCTTGCAAGCACGTGCGCGCAAAATGACCTTCGTTCAAATCTACATAACATGCCTATTAAAAAGGTTTTACCTAAGTCGGATGTGTAGTTTACAAGATCACTCCGGGACAAAAAAGTACCCAGGAAGAAGAAGAAGAAGAAAAATAATAATAATAAGAAACAGAGTAAAAACAATATGTTCCCCAACTTCGTTTGGGGAACATAATAATATCTTGATGGATACGTAAGCTAACGTCGAAATATGTCAAAATAAAATTTCTCCCAGAAAGAAATATGTTCATAACAAAAAATTAAGTTAAAACATGTAAAAAAAAATATTTCTTGATGAATTGACATCACCTTCATTCAATAGTTTCACATTAAACATAAATCCAATATTGAATATAATAAATAAAAAGATTTAGTTAAACAAGTAAGCAAATCAAACTGAAAAAAATATCTTCTAAATTATCCCTTTTACCAGAGTGCAAAGCTCATCAATCTGGTGTAAGATTTCTTAAAGGTGCATTATCAAAATCATATGGAATATCAAATATTTGTCTCTTTCAAAACATTTTACATTTGAGAGGTGCATGGTCACATTTTGAATAATTTTTAATGGAAATGATACTCTCTTTGGTTTAAGCACTATCAGTATAGATGTCAATTTTTATAATGATAGTTTCTAAAAAGGTTTCAATTCATATAAACACATAATTATTTTGCTGTAGAAAAAAAATCCCCTTATAGTTTTCATAAGGGATTTGAAATTATGAGAAGGATGAAGGAATTGACAGTCTTAAAATTGTTATAAAACAACAAGCACAGCTTAGAAAACCTGATGATACTAAAAATGTATAAATTGAAATTACAATAAACTATCTGTACACATATTTCTCGCAATAAAAAAATCAAACATATAATGACAAAAAATAAGGACGGATGTGCCATCATTATTGCATATATAAATATAAATCATTCCGCATATTTAACAGTATAGAGATAGGTTTGTCCTATAAAAAGTCTATAATATCCCGTCAGAAGTGTTGGTGCAAAACAATAAATAACGTATTGCATTCTCCCTAATCTAAGTGGAATCACGTGGTCTCTAAACTGGGCAGGCTCTTGACGGCAGCAGCTTTTTTGATTGGTCCATGCTTTGGGTCCAATATTCTCTGATCTTCTGGTATATTGCTACAAAACCAAAAAACAAAATATTACGTTTGTGCTTTAAATATTTGATTATCTTGGCTTAAAATGCCTTTATATCTTAAATATTCTTATTATTATTAAAGATCTATAATCACATCCATTTCATGTTTTATACATTTTTTTTTTCATTTGTCATAAGTAAAAATTCAGAAAGTCGTTTTTTTACGAAGCTGAACACTATTTTAAAGAGAGATGAAATATATTTTGTCATAATATATATTCATATTAGTTAAAGCTGAAATCATTAAAAATACTTAATATCAGATATACATTCACACTTTATAATGCAGAAGAAATTCAACCACCAAAAAATCGTTATATGATTACATTTCACTACTTACCTTTTATGCATCACATAAATTTATATTAATCTAATACCAAAGCTAGCTAAAATAATTCGCCTGAAAAGGGTCTAAGAAATATTGTTTGGTTTCTAACTAGGAATATCTTAAATGAAAGAAAAACTAAACAACAAAAATCAGATTGTTCAACAAAATGCAATACAATAGAATTAACACTCGTACCAAAAAATACGGAAACGAACAAAAAGATGTGTAACAATTGAACAAAATCAACAAGAAATATTGAACAGAAGTCCAGTTGTATTCCAAGGTAACAGTAGACTAGACTAGAATCTATGGAGAACACATCTAGCTGGCTGAAAGTTAAGATGGAGGACAGTTATCAATACAAGGGAGGTAAGAAACACCATATCCCGCAATTAATATTCTTACCCCATTAGCCTATAGTGAAATATGATAAAGTTATTATTGCAGATTTCAAAATAAAGACTTGAATTATTCATAGTATTTTAATGTGTATTGTAATATCTTTCAGGTGGAAAACTTTTCACAGGAGGAGAAAGGTGAATTTTGACATGATTTAAATAAACGTAGAGAAAATTAGTTTTATGTTTAATGTAGTGCAAATAGATGTTAAAAAGAGTATTTGCTTTATTTTTCCTAGGAAAGGGGGGAAGGTGGTGGTGTGAACAAGACTCCGCTTACCGTATTTCATGCTCCAAACTTCTGAAGACAAGACCAATGCATTCATTAGAATTAAATCAAGGTAAACATAAATGAGATGGGTTGAAAAGTAAAGAACTGTTCCAAGACGTTTATGTAATTTAATAGCTGATTGAAAATTATTAACTTTATGATTTCATGAACTCATTTAATTCTTTGTCATATTTTTCTGTTAATTATAGAAACTATGGGATCATCTACGCTACAAAATTACCAAGGTTATTCCTTCACCAATTTAGAATTTGAAAAAAATGCAATATTTTCATTAAAAAATAAACCGATACTTATGTTCTATATTAGTAAAAAGTATAATTTTTAAAATTTCTATTGTCTCCCTAGTGCACGTTATTTTTGAAATTATATAGTTTTTTCGCATACTATTGCAGCAATATGTGTATTATATAAGTTTCAAAAATTATATCCAATACTAGGTGAATTGATCAATTACTTCTCAGCAAATATTTTAAGACTTAATTGGTGTTTGAAAAATTCAAATATACTACAACTTACTGGATTATAATAAATAAACTACACCTAGTTTTTTCTGATAAATTTCAACGTTGCCGAATTTTAAATCTGCAATCCTGACCTTATTTATTTTCAAAATCATGGTTTTACATACAAGTAAATTATAATAATTTTTAAATGTATTATTTTACGAAAGTATATGCTAGACGAAAAAGACAGTCTACTGAAATTCAGAATTGTTTAGATTAATAAGAAAGACATTATATTGATAGGAATGTTATTATGTTTAGATAAAGGCAAAATGCATAATAATGACCATTTATGTGAAGTCGAGTTAGATTTTCAGCTTTGGGCACTAGAGCAGTTATTAAGCAAATGGTTCCATTTTCTTTTCTTTTATAAAAATATCTTTTTAATACATTATTTTTTTTTTTGTTTTAAACGTTTATTCAACAAATTTTATATTTGTACCACTTAGATTTCTAATTGTTAATATATAAATTTGAATAGGAGCCGAGGAAATCGTTAAAATAGGGAAAGTTAGTTTTTAATCATTATTATCTAAAGGGTATATTTATACAACACCAATAAAGTATAACATTAGGAAATAACTATAAAAACTAAGCGTTACCTCAGGCTACGGTAATTAGTATTTCGAACAGTTTTAATTTTGGACCTCCTTGGGGAAGGACTAGAGCTATTTTCATCCATTTCATTCAGTGAAATCCTAGAACTAAAGGGTTGAAGCCATAACTTTATACATGTATAAATGTCTAGTAATATATGGATTTAAAAAAACAGTCATCTAACAATCTCAGAACACAAAACTAAAGGTTTCTACAGGTGAAAAGAGAACTTAAGGTTTTCAAGTCAATGTTTTCATCGTATTTCCCAGTGTGGTCATCAAATCACCTCAAAGAATTTCAGGGGTGAAAAATTATCGAACGGACGTTAAATAAAACAAAGAAACTCGACAACAGTATAAATATTTCCAACATTGAACAGCACCTAGCAATAAGGTGCATTCTGCTCGACTACTGTAAAATCGGTAGCATTCAAAGCCATTACGTGTCTACATTTAACATCTTTACCCTAATGTTTCACAAAGTCGTCTGTTCTTTCGTTCACTGAAAAAATGCCCACAGTTATAGAAACTCTTTAGAAGTGCCGAGGAAGTGCCACAAACCCCCTCTATCTAGACCAGTCCTTTCTTACCTGCTATTATTCTAATATACTAGGAGCAATACGGGGGTCCCATTCAACTCTTTTTGAAGATCTATATTTTCAAAAGTGTTTAATTTTATTCTGATTTCATGACAAAGGATTGTCAAAGATGTAATACAGTTTCACTTTTTATATGTGCTCTAGTATAATTTGAACACACATTTATTATTTCTACGCCATCAAACTTGTTTACAATAGAACCGTCAACAATCTAACAAAATTGCGTAAGGTTTTGATTAATTTAGACATTTGAAAAAGTCCCATAACCAACCAAGTAAATCAGCTCAGAGCACACAGACACACCCTGCTTCCCAAAATTAGATAAATAGTTGGGCAACAGAAAAACCATTTCAGAAGTGAACTGGATTGAAATTGGCCAATTCTATCTGAAATGTTTTAACTGTGCCCTTGTACACTCCTTATGACACAAGAAGCTGATACAGAACATCTGAATATTAATGGTTATGACATGTTCACCGTTCTCTGTATTATATATACACATATATTAAATATATATTTCCACCATCTTAATTGATACTACCTCTGCGAGCTTCTGCGCTCGTTCTGACTGCTAAATAGTAATATTATTTAATGTAACAACAAATTACTAAATAATAAGAATAAATATACATTTATACAGAAAACACGGATCATAACTACTTGATGGAAATAAAAACTTAAGAAATAAAGATAGCAACAATCTGAAAAGATGGGATTTACATTCTTTTTTTTTTTTTGTTAAAGACAATTTTTTTTATTGAAAATAAAGCAAGTTTTCATAATAATAGTATTAAATATTTGTTTCAGATCTGTTGCTACATATTTTGAAAAAAGAAATAAAAATCTAAGTGATTTTTTCTACATCGTGGTAGGAACAAAAGAGGGCACACAAAATGTTCACTACAAAGAAAGAACTAGATTTTGAATCCACATACCCCATACTCCTCGGAGTGCGAGATCCTGGAATGGTATCCAGGGCGTCTCGACTTGAGGACAGCTTTGGTCGACTAGCCACCTCATTGATGGAACCCTTTGTAGAATTGATCTCCAGTGAATATGTCTTCCTCTCGTCGTTTGCTTTATGGTAGGCCTAAGAAATCAGGTTCAAAAGTTTAACTTAACACGATGAATAACATTTCTCAGAAAAGTCAATTAAAAATCATTTTTTAAAAAAGGAGAAAAAACAAGAAAAGTTCATGTGTAAATAAAGATGAAAAGATTTGTGGTTAAGAATCGAAAAGATTGCAATGTTTTAACTTTTAGAATCATAATTGCATTTATGAAATAAATTAAACATTTTTTTAATATTAATAACACATGCTTACATGTAACGAATTAAACAAGACAGATTTAAGTGACAAAAGCCTAACAGCACATAATGTTTCAGTTTCAATCACTCCACTCTCCACTCAGTACCGTAGACCCAGGACGATACACTAGACAAAATTGTTAACGCACCATTATTTATATGATTCTTTTTTTGTTGTTGTTTTTTATGATTTGTTAAAGACGTATCTGACTTGGGCCCTATACCTGTATATGTGTAACTATGATGAAAGGTAATATCTAAGCCCGTAAATCATAGATATATAATAATTGAAGCATAACCATTTCATAGAAATGCAGCAGAACAACCGACCACAGAACATCGCAATAGAGCAGTTGGTATGGTGTCTGCAAAAAGTCTCTTTAAAATGAAACAATTCAAGATTTTTTTTTCTTTCTTTGTTGAAGAGTATTTATGACAAAATTAAGAAGGTAAAAATATATTCTTGGTAAACAAGACATGGAATAGACACGGTTCGACTATTGCAAGATTGTACTGTAACTTTGTGACAGACGGTGTGAAGGACCAGGTCCAGATGCCAAGCCACTAAATGACTATATATATAATAGCAACAGGTTAGGACATTTGCTTGATATTGTTTGAGATACAGTGTTAACATCGCTGTTGCAAACTCTCTGACCACCTCGTAGACCGCTAACCTTATGACTGAGCAGCACATGTTATGTGTGCAATCGGCCTCGCAAAAACAGTTTGCGTGCATGATGGTCATTTGAATTGTGTTAAAATTTAGGCAATTTCATCTGCAGATGTCGCATTTGAAGGTGAAAATATTGAATGGTGCGTTAGCAATTTATTTTGTGTAGTGTACTCGCAACTTGACAGTGAATTGCGCTCACTGTGCAACACTCGCAAATCGAACACTCTCAGAGGTGCCTAGAAACGTCAGGTGTGAAATATAATCTTTCTATCCATGGTTTATTATTATACATACTACTACTGTTTTGTAATTTTGCTAGCTGTACAAGTTTACATGCTACTTCTTACTTCATTTGCATAATGTGTACACTTTGACATGCATTTGTGCTTTATAATACAGTAGTTATTTGTAATTCCGGGATAGTTCTGGATAAAATTTACTAAGAGGTCCGTTTCTCTATATAAATACTACATGTACATGTAAGTTATATAAATCCATACATAAAATTATCAAAAAGGTTAATTTTTTGTAGAATTAGGATTGGGTATTGAACAAGGAACAAAACACAGCACTAGTTAATGAATCCGAATACAACAAACATGCAAAGCGCTAACAACACAGAACGTCTGTTTCAATTTTAGGAATGAATTTTTTTTTAGATCCCCCCCCCAAAAAAACAGAATGTTGCCAGAAAACAATGTTTATTTAACAAATTCTTGACTGTACAAAGAAACAGACTTTCTAGCGTACAAACTGCCCTGGTCCAAGATGGCAACAAAGGCTCCAAATTGTACCAGACCAGTTCACCCTCACCTTGGACTCTTGATCAAGTCTCCATTCAATGTCTCTAATTTGCCCTTGAAGCATTTGCTTTTCTTTTTCAAGCGACCGAACCATATATTTATTTGCCTAGAATATCAAGGTGCAGTGCTTTTAATGTAAAGGTGAAAAATAAAATTCTGGATTGGTAGATGTACCTTTGATTCCTGGTCCATTCTCCATTCCATATCCCTCAGCTGATTCACAAGAACGTTCTTTTCTTTCTCCAGCATTCGAATCATATGCGGATTGGCCTTTTGTTACGTCAAAAAACTCAACAGCTTATATAATGTCTATACATATTTATCACAAAAATGTTTCATGACATATTTATAAAGATTGAAATCTTAATTTAGTGTAATACTTTTTTGACCGTTTCAAGAGTACTTTGACTGTTTTATCAATTTGCTTCTGTTTTCTCTGATATTAGAAAAATTTTGTCATTTTTACTTACATCAGAAAGGTCATCAAAATTTTTCAGGTCTCTAGGCGTCTTTCCAGCTAAAAAGTGAAAAGTTATTTTTCTTAAAATCTCATACCACTGCAAGTCCACCGAGAAAGGAACTTCTTTTCAGTAAAACTAGATTTCTATATTTCATTCAAAATATTTCCACCAGAAAAGGTAAATTTACCATCAACTAGCCCTCTACATCCAGTAAACATGATTAACACGATGATTCTAGTGACTAACACGTGAGTAAGGTGTCATGCAATATATACATATCAATAAGACCAGTGTAGCCTAATTAGACAAAAGTGCACTGCATACTTCACAGAAACTATACACCCATTCTCATAATGGACCAATTTGATTTTAATAAATTACCAAAGAAACCAGTACAACCGTGCAAATATACATGTTTACCGATGCCATCGTCAACCATTTTTCTAAAACTACAATAATACAAGTACACTTTCTAACACTGGAAATAATGAAGTGGTCGCAGTCACTCTGTGCCTCTACCCCCATTACCTAAGTCCCCGGAGCGAGGACTGATGGTTAGATTGATTGTTATCCCCGAAGATTTTTGAGTGGCTGCAGTGTTTGGTTTGGAGTACTGAGACCCTGACGAGCTTCGACTAATGGCTTTACTAGCTACACTAGAGCGAGAGGCTGATTCCCTACCTGCTACGTGTGCCCGTGCTGGAAAAGTTGGACGTTGATTACAATGTCATACAAATGAAGCTGCTACCCCCTCTGTTGTCCAAATTTTTTTTATTTTGTGGTTTAGTAAGTATTCTATTTTATTCTGCATTTAAGTAGGTATTTTGTGAAATCATCACACTGTACTTCGATATAGATTTTTACCATACACAAAAAGAATTTGCTTTATTTAAAAAGCCCTCAAAATTCTTGTCAAAAACGCTAATTTCAAGGTAAACATGATGATGGATAGTATAATAATAATAATACACAGTAAATACAACATACAGGGCTTATAGTTACTTGGAAATGAGACCTGCACCAAAAACATTAACCTGGCTTAATACTATACCACAACTATAATTATGTACGTTCTAAAATAAAAATAATAATGAGTCATTCGCATATAGATCTCGAGAAGAGATGCACTGCAATTTTAAAATGCATACTTAGTGGAAATATACGATTCTTTAGTGGTAGTATCAAAACAGCTGATTCCAATCTTATGAAGTGTATGGCCATTTTCAAAATGGCAACCATTTTCGATCTGATCACGTGACCATCATGCAGACTTTACCTGGAAGATAGCTACCAGGCTTGGTTCTAATTTTAATTGTCCTCTCCAGCTTTTTCTTGCTTTCCTCGGGATTTTCAAACCTTATACTGTTCTTTGAATCCGCACTGCTTGCTACACACATACAATCATTTTTCAAAGTAACATTATAGCAAAGTTTCTGCACCATTTTCAGCATGCATTATCAAATTCAAGCAGATTTTATTTATCATGTCAGAACGATGTAGTGTACAATATGAAATTAAAAAATTTAAATATTCCTGTTTTCATACTTTAAAAAATTAATAGAATAATTGTTTTCCATTATCTTGATTTATTATACTATTATTATGCTTATATTTTTTACTAGTTTGGTTGTAAAATAATGTACAATATAGAATCAGTTTCAGTAAGATTATAAGTTTGTGAGCATGGTGAGTTGCATGCTTCCAACTTTTGTAGGATATATTAGAATACACCTATTTTTAGACTATAGAGGTAGTCATACATTTTATCTAATATTCTACCATGCTGATATTAGTCTTCTAGAGAAATCTGATTAATATATTTTCAACCAATTTACAAGTAGTTTCATTTCTTCAAACTAAACAAACCTATTACAGTTTCTTTCCAATATTCAATCAATTTCTTCCTTGACTTAATATTTGAACACATTCTAGAACCTCAGGTACTCTTCATCAAAATTATAGTTTTGCAATTCAACATATTTTTTTTTCCTTATTGGACTTCCTTAGCAACTAAATACATGTACTATAACCACTTTTATCTCTTCTGCCCTGTCTTCTTCATCTTTTAAAGCAGGTTAAAACGTAACTGAAGCAGCATGCAATTTTAACTTTGGGTTTTTATCCATTCATATCATATTTATTCTACTTCTTCCCAGATTGAGATCAAAATATGGTTACAACATTTAATTGATTTGATTTTTAATGAATTTTACCGATATCTGATTTGTCAATTCTGTTGAGTTTTTACAGTTAAAAGAATTGTTACTGTGTGATTTTTGTTGGTTTTAACACATTTCAAACCCATGCAAATATTTTCTCCTTTTCCATCTTTGAATGTTAATTTTTGCACAGTATGTACATAAGCTAAATAATCCCTTTGTAGGACTACATGCTCATTATGCATTCACATGCTTGCTTTTGTTTCCATTCAATGAAATGCCATTCTACTAGTTTGATGCAAATGTTGTCACTCAATAAAATGCAGTTCTGCTAGTTGGACCAGGAGTATGGTTATGGCTGAGTTAAGTCGCCTGGTCACATGTTAATATTACATATACCTGGGGAGGGTTTCAAAATACTTGTCAAGTTAGACTTAGTTCTGTCCACTTGTATACATTTATCCACCCATTTGCCATTTCCCTCTTCAGAGGTTTCATCTGTGAAAGCCACTGTGCAATATTCAACAAGTTTATCATTTGATAACATATTGAATAGTTGATAGCATATTGCATAGCCAATATACTGCATATTCCATTCTTTGAAATTTAGTGCAAATTAGCTAATATCCTTTCTTATTTAAATATGCATAAAATCTTTTACGTTCTATAAATGAACATACTTAAACAGTAAAAATGTAATACATGTACATAATCAGAAGAATTTACACTTTATGCAGATTATTCATAAGTTAACTGTTGTAACAATTGAAATCAGTTTATATCTTCATCATATTTTATATTTTTGTTAATTAATATGAAAATAAAACTGATAGAAAATTTCATGCTTAATGAAGAGTTATATGGAAAAAATGGGGAAAAAACTTAAATGGTAACACATTCAACCTTCTAGTTCTCACAAAAAACATCTTTCAAATCAAGTCTTTTGCATGCACCCTCTTTAATGCTCTATACAGTCTCTGATTATATGTTTTCTCCACATTTGCATAGTGCACCCTTTTAAATAATCATAGTTATTATTTTTTTAATGAGAACAAATACATTTGATCTAAAAGACAAATTGGTACCAAAGTATATGTCAAAATAATTTTTAAAATTAATTAAATTAATAAACTTGATTGTCATCTGAGTTTTTTTTTCTTTGCAAGTTTTGTTTTGGTTATAACAATATATATATTTTATATTATATATTATATAACATTACATGACTTCCTTTCGTTACAAATTTATAAAGAGGGTACATTATGCAAAGGTGTTAAATTTCCACAAAAACAGCATTTGCCATCAAATATGATCCCTAAAAGAAAACTATGCTCTTCTGAAGTAAAAAAAAAAATGGTGGTCAGATAAAATGACCCAGATGACAGAAAGCTATAATTAGTAACAAGATGGTCACTCCTAGACCTACCTCCTCTACGTTTTAATATACCCTTCCCCGGTCTAAGATCCAACTCAGCTAAATCTTCTACACAACAAAATCAGACAAGTTCATTCAAAATGGGGAAAATGCTAACAGTTTTTTTTACAGTGTCAATCGCAGAATGGATTTTGTGCATTATGAAACAGCATTATCATATCAAGATACAGTTTAATTTCAAACATGCTCAAGTACCATAGATTGCTATATGTTGATGTCCACATTGTGCATGCAAATTCAGTTTCTTGTATTGATTATATGTATGTATTTTGAACATAACCCTGATGCTTTGTCATGCAATGGATCTGCACTTGTATATTTTTATCATGCAATAACATATCTTTTTATTACCCCGAGCCAGTCTGAATTATACTCACACAAGACTTCAACCGTTACCTACTGTAATTCATGGTTTAATCAAAAGCAAATTGCTGTAAACTATGGTAATATCAAAACTGGAATTCAAACATCTTCATAAAAACCATATTTTGTGAAATACTATAAAACTTGCCTAATCCAGACATTACTAATAATGGTTTTAAAGAAATTGGTTGAATTAGACAACATTCCAAAATAAGACAACATTTAATACAAATAAATATTACATCATATTAAACAAAATTTCATATTACACACTATCTGGATAATACAAGTTACACTGTAATTTTTTGGATATTATGTCCCAACAGACTTTTAGATAATGGAAGCTTTATTCATATCTTGATCCACCCATAAAAAAATCCTGATCCCCCCATGAACAAACCTTGTTGATATAACCCTGGGATAGATTCTCATTTCTTGATTCACCCATTAATTAACAAACCCTGACTATGGAACCCTGGGATACATACCGTCTTTCAGGTTGGCTTTAGCTTCTTGTACTTTGTTCTGTAACATCAAAATCTGCCGTTCTAACTGCTCATTAATTTCTGATTGCGTCTCGTATCGTGTTTTCCATTCATTCCCTGAGAAAAAAAAGGAAACATCTTGTAATTTGACAAGTAATGGGGGTAAATGTATTTTAAATCTAATATCTAAAGTTAAGTACTATATAGTAAATGATGGTCTGTGTTTTAAATGTATAATAATGTGCAAATTACATGTACTTACTGATTCATTTCACATGATTTTATGAAAATTTAAAATTAATGAACAAAATATCCTGTGTGTACTAATAAATAATGACTTGATAGTTGTATCTGAATACAAATGATCATCATATGATTCACACTTGTTTACTACAAATATAATTTTCAATATAAGAATACAAATTTCAAGAAATACCAAATTTGCTCCAGTATTAACCACCTTGCCTATAAGTGTTCCTGTTGCAATTTTCATCTAGAAAAGGTTTTACTTTTTCCATATCCCGAACTTACTGACAATTAATGTGTAAAAATCCCTCAATTTTGTAAAGGGTCCAAACCGTTGCTTCAAATTGTTTTGATTAATGTCCTCTGTTTTGTTTGTAATAGCTTGGGTTTTTTTTGGTTGTTTTTTTTTAACTCCTCACTTTTTAGCAAAACGCTGAAGGTCCTTAAATTTTAATATACTCAAATAAGAACATATATCGTATATTGGAAAAGTAAATACAGTCAAAACTTGGTTGTCTTGAACTCTAAGGGTACAAAAAAAAACTTAAATTGGAGATATCCAAGGATTAGAAATAAATGTATCAAGGGTCATTCTTGAGAATAAGGAATTTAGGACATCCAAATCTCCTTAACATATCCAAGGTATTTGAGATATCAGAGTTCAATATATCAATTAAAGTTCAACTGTATTTCTATGAGGATCAGACAGTTTGGATATCTACATCTAGTATTTTCAAGTATTTAAAAAAAAATTCAAGCAGGTTAGGTGCTTTCTGGTGCAAATATGGTATGTATAACTGTTTCTTAGCCTGGCATCATGCATTACTGTAAATGTACTTACTTTAGCACAATTAAATCATATTTAAGCACCTTTTGCACTGCTTGTCCACAAAATTATGACATTGTTTAGATTCTGATGCAAAAATTTAAAACTGCACTAAACAGTAGAAGAGGGTGATTGTGGTGCTAAATTTTGAGTGTGCTAATTTATGTACATTTACAGTACGGGGTATATTGATTATAACGAAACTATTTAGCTCTTTCAGTGAAGAAAAGAGGTTTTTCTGACATAACAATAAGAATCATATCATCTGAAAAAGTGAACAGCATGCATGGATAAAAAATATATAAACGAAATGAAATTTTATAAACATTTAGTAGTTTGTTAAGAGGGATTACAAAAAGAGGTTCTGAAAGGTAAAATAAATTCAGTAATGGTATTCATGCAGGCATCTACAAGCAAAGACTTCAATCTGGGTAAACAAGAGACTTAGCTTTAAGACAAAAAGAACAGTTGGGAGGTCTACAATTCAGAATTCTCTTTAAAATTTCAAAATGTCTGCACACATTTGACATGTCACTGTCTCTTGAAATACAGTACCATATGTAATTCCCTTGTCAAAATTTTGAATGACCCAATCACACGGTTGAATTCTTTTCACTACCAAAGGTGATAATTTGACTAAAACAATGTCAATTTTAAATCTATGTGTTTTTTTAACTTATTTAGCAGGCTTTTGATCTATTTGTTTTATGCCGCCCAAGTGTAGTTTATTGATAAAAGCATGAGACAGTGATATTGGATAATTTGTGCAGCCATTATAGTATGGGTGTAACACGTCTACTCTTACAATCCAAATCATCGGAACTTGATGCACTCGAGCGATCTCGCTTGCCATCTGTAATAATATATCTAGACATAACTAAAAACACACAAGCTTAATTATTGTTGTTAATGATTTTAAATGATTTTTTTTTTCCATGGAGGGAACCACACAGCAATTAAATATTGGATCTGCATGCATTAAGCAAAACAAAGTACTGGATTTGCCCACACTAGAAGGCAATTAATATTCTCACAAAATAAAATTTTGTAGCAGTTGTATACAAATAAGAAAAATAACTGGAAAAGAAGTATCAACATAACTTTGATAAATAAAATCAGACCCATAAATGATGATGCACTCCAGATGACCAAAAAACTTAAACTAGAATTTTACTTTGAATTCTTGTAAAATTACTAAGAAAAAGACATGAAAGGAACTTGCATGTCCCTTAGAGAATCAGATATTTATAGCATGGACATTGCAACAAATGGCATGAACAATATACCAGCATTTTAGATTTACTATGAAGGTATTGAAAAAAAATCTAGCAAAACTACTGTTCACAAAACTATAAATCTGTACTAAAGAAAGATTTCACTAGCTACTATTGCTAATTACACTATTGGTAATTACCGGTCACTGGGGAGTTGATGGGAAAGAAAAGAGGGGAAGAATTAGAGGGGGTGCAATACACCTACACAATATCAATCTAAACATTTACAGGGATTAAAAAGATGTGCATTTTATACTTATAATGATTACATTTGTTTTTAACTTTAAAATTCAATCTTTTTATATATATAAGCATCACAGATGTATTACTGTACAAATAATTTTTTTGTTTGTTAATTCACATATAGAAAATTTTCCTCTGATGATTATATTATAGACATACCTTCATTGTCAATAGTGTCATATCGTTTTTCCAGTTCCTCCACTGTTGCTCGTAATTCAGCAGCTGACTGCTCCAACATTTCTCTGAAAAAGTGTAACATGGTCAATTATTGTGTTTTAAGAATTTTGTGATAATTTAAATGAGTTAAGTGTATAAGTATGACATTCATCCTGCATATTGTTTAAATTTTGTCATTTTCTTACAAAGCACAAGTAAATGAATCTTTTGTCTTAAATAAATGTGTGTGCATGTGTGCTTTGGGGGGTGGATGGGGGAGGTGTGTGGAGAGGAGCTTGATCAGATAATCCAAATGTCCAGTTTGTAATCTGCAGCTCTTTCTTTCTAACAATTAATCCCAACATTTCAATGTTTTAAAAGTCATTTTTAAAAATTACTTTTTAACAACACATCATCAAGGTGCCATTTATGCAACAATGTCTAGATTATGGGTAATTGTTGCAAGATTAAAGTAAATAAAACACAATTACTCCAAAATTAAAACAACCAAAAAAGTCAATTATTTTATCCCACAAGAAGTTTACATATAATACATTTTGACTCTTTATAAATAAGTAATCTAAAAATCAAACAAACTTACACTTAGTGTAAATATGTACAGTAATTGGGGTTTTAAGTTTAAAGAGCCAAACATTTTAAAAATCTGAGCCCAATGTCATTCACATTATTTCTATAAAAAAGTTAATTCCAAGAAATTTTTTTAAAAAAGTTGTTGAAACACACTTTATCGTAGTAAGAACACAAATATTTGTCTAAGATTTTTGAAAATTTTCATAAATGAATAATGCATTCATTAAGATATTGTGGGAAATGTATTTGTGTGAATATACCTACATTTGAAAGTTAATCAATTAAATATTTGAAAAAGAACCATAAAGTTTCAAGGATATTTTATTTTGTTGTCTGAAAAAATTATACTGTATATGGAATTATTTTTATATATCCAAGGGTCAATATTTATGGGAAATCAAGATTGTACTGCATTGTGGTGGCATAATTTCACAAGAAACTTGTATATAATGAAGATTGAATAATATTTTGATGTTCATTGGGACTCTCACAATCCATGAACCTTTCTTTCCATGACAGGATATTGAAAGGAAATGTCAATCAATTAATCAATTGTTTTAAGATATGCAACGACATGAAGTGACATGCAAAAGATAGGGGCTCAATAGACATGCTTTAATCTGAATATCCTGTTGTAGTGGAACTCTCTAAATTTGAAGTTAATTATTTGCCACATGATAATAAACTTTGTTTACTTGACTTAATCTCTGTTAAAACACATACAGCAAAGAAAGTTGCATGTTTGACTCATGCATGGAATTCCTTATAACTTTCTTCATTTATTTTAACCCTAGATACCATAGTCCCACCTTTATTTGTTCAATCATTGAGTGCTATAGTTGTGACTGGGATATATTGCATGTATGTCAGCCCAGTATAAACTTAGTGGTTGAACACAGGAATTGCCAGCAGGTGGTCCAGGGTTTGAGTCGAGTCTATCTGGCAGTCATTTTTGTCCATCTTGTTACATTTAGCTCCCAACAACAAAACCCATGGGTGGCTTAGAAAAAATTTAACTTTTAGTGAGGTTTTGGATGGAAAACCTTGCTCAAGAAAAAGGGTGGATGAATGTGGTGGGATAGGGATACATTGCACAGGCACTTCATTTATATGGGGTGCCCCCTACTTATTTTTACCACAAGGTACCTAACTCATTTTCAGAGACTTCTGAAACAATTTAATTGACAAGGAAAAAGTCTCTTGAAGAGTCATTTTACAGTACTCGGGTTAATGATTGAAAAATTAACAAAATACAGGTTTGAACTGGGTGTGCCTGAAAATGAGTTAGGAGCCTTGAGGTAAATATAAGTATGGGGTGTCCCATATACAAAACAAATGCCTGTGGTACATCGGCTGAATAGCTCAGTGGTAGAGCAACCGAACCCTCTATTTAGCTAGGGGTACTGGTTTCGAGTCCATATTTAGAATACATGTTTCCCTAACTGTGAAAGAGACAAGAGGACCACTTTAACCCAAAAGAAACTCTTGTTCAATTCAAGTCAATCAACCCAATAAAAATAAGTAAAATAACTATAAAAATCAAAATTCAAAAATCATTGTTTAATTTTAAATTTATCACTACCCCTCGTAAAAATATTTGTTTTCATAACCATGAGGAAAAAAATCAAGAATTAAGACAGGTGCTCTGATTATAATTAATGCACCTCGTCGCCTGGCTCATAAAAATACATCAAAGATAGTAAAACCATTCGACATATATTGGTAACAAAAATATAACACTGAGGAAAAACATAAATCTTCACTCAAATGAACATAGAATAATATAAACAAAGCATAAGGCGAGTCATCGTTATGTCAGGCCAAACTGTCTAAACCAGAGGCCATTCTTCTTGAACGCGTTTTTATCTTTCACAAACATCAGCAGGTGCCCGATGACAAAAATACCGATAATTCTACAAATAAGGCATCGATTTACCCTTCCAAACTTTATATAAGTAATTCGTTTGGTAATGCTATGTCAATTTATTAAAAATACTTACTTCATTTGCTTTTCTTGCTGAATTTCAGCTCTCAACTTTTCCAGTTCGAAGTCATCCATTACTTCGACCGCCATTTTGACTCTCTTTGTATCCAACGAAACGTCATAATCAATGTAAATGGGACGCTTATGATTTGAGAGGCGAAGTAGCGGGAATATTTAAAATTCTTTAATCGGATTTAAAGGGAGACAACTTTTATTATATTTTACTTGTAAAAACATTTTACACAATAAATCATCATCGATTTAAAATCAGTTTTTATTGAGACACTGTCAGTGATAGGTTTGGACACAAGTTAATCCTGTTTTAAAAGACTTAATACCCTCTCCAACACAAAAGGAAAAAAATAACTAATTTCCCAACAAAGAATTGTCATTCTTCATGCTAGCTTTTATGTTTTCCACATTTTTTGGCATAACCTCAGTATGGAAATACATATTCTGATAATAGATTTAGTTTGATGTAAATGCACATCCTTTTGATCCTCTATGTTCTCAAAACCGTAAATTCTAACATTTTTAGAGTTATCTTTAATTTTTTCAATCTGATTTAAATCGTGCATGGTCGTGTTGCAGCAGTGTGTATCACATACTAGGTTTTCCAAACAGCATTACAGAAAAAAGAAAAGATGTCAATTCATTTAATAGGATTTTATCATAAATTTTTTCCCACTTTTCAGATCTAAGTAAACACTGACCACAGTGATAATAGGATAACTAAAAATTTGTCTTTGGCAGCAAACTTTCATAAAAATTAAATTAATTATAACTTGTAAAGCATTTTTTAAAATTATTTTACAAACAGTACATACAAACATATATTGTTTTTAATACAATATAAATAAAAGCAACTGAAATAACACTCTTCATCAAATGTGTTAACAAAGATCTACATCTTGTATATTTCATACATAACAAGGTGAAATAAATGACTTTTAAAAAAACACTCATACATTCATATACTGAAACAGAAATAAATACAGTATAGAGAAAACAAATGTATGCCTTATATCTTTAAAGTCTTTGGTAAAGCAAGTAACAATTCAAAAGAATAAATAACATGTGAACATGCAGTTGCATCCCCTTTCTTAAAATGTTCAATTCGAAACCTAACACAAGAATACAAGAAAACATTTAAACAATCAACATTTGTTTTAACAAATATTAAAATTTTATTAAAAATTAAATATTAATATCTGAATTTTATCACACATGTTCTGTATAGACTTTTTTATTCACTATTCTTTGGTTGATTGTTTGTGATAGACTATTTTTTAAAATAAATAATTAAATTTATTTATTTTTATAGTTTAAAAATATGTCAGGCACATATTAGAAATGCATAGCTTTCAGTAAATTATTGCTATCAAAGTCAGTAAGTCTGAATCATCATTTTTATTATTATATTGAAAATATTAACCATGCAGTTTCTTGTAAGTTAAACATAAATATTATGCTGCAATAGATGGGGACTATAAAAGTTTTGAGGCTGCAGTCATTATGTTTTAAACAATAACATGTTTTATCTTGGTCAAATAAAAAAAACAGCACTGATAAGATATGAATTATTTAAAAAGAAGATACATGTACATAGTAGATTTTTACAGAAAGAAATAGCACCAAGCATTTTAAAGTTAACCATTTCATCATTACCCTTACAAACCGTCAACAAATATTTTCAAAGCAAACTTAGAGTTGTATTTAGCGGGTTCTGTACTATCTTACAGATGCATTTGAGACAATGATTATTATTTCACATGAATGCATCTTGATTTTTGCATTTAAAAATATTTCTAGTTAATAAAAGTAACTTATTTTAATTTTTTGATTCTTCTTTTAGAAATAAAATAAGAGATATCTATACATAATAAATGTCTCATACCGTAAATCTGGAAATTTTTGCTGTAGATAAATTTTTAGCAAATTTGCGAGTTCATTGCATTCGCAAAAATATTTTTCTTAAAAATAAATTACCAATAAGAAAATGTAAACAAAGCAGTGGTAATTCGCAAAATTTTGAAACGTAATATTTAATCAACACCATTTTGACCTGAATTCGCAAAATAAAATCGACGTAAAAATTTCCAGATTTACGGTAGTCACAAATTATGAGTTTAGGCAAATCTAAGGATCTTTTGAAATACCCCACCCCAACCCCTAAAAAAATTCCAAAAATATTATAAGTATATTCAGATTATTTATTCTAATACTGAGATATACCTTAAAAACTTGCCATTTTGAATACATGTACTACTACCTATGGTTTAGGACTTACTTTCATATACTGTCTCAAAGAATAACAACTAGATTAAACTGTAGAGATTTTAAAACAAGTAACATCAATATTGAATTCTACTAGGGTAGTATCATCTTTGGATGGATTGTTAATAAAAACATTAAAATAAAACTCTGATTTCAACCACACAGTCAAAAGACTGCAAATCTCTAAATAGCACCAACAATGACTTGTAAATATTAAAAATTTGGATAAATTCTGTAGGCACTTCCTCAAAATACTGCCTTCATTAATTAAAAAGACATTAATTTACAATGGTAAAACAGAATCATGTTTCATATTGCTGTAATTCAGTCATATTTTTGAAAATTTTCACACTGCACTAAATACATCCAAATGCATATATTAATACCATACACTTTCTCTGCAATAAATCTCACATACTCTATATACATATGTATATAAATTCAAATCACTTTGTACAAAATGACAGATCACAGTAACCACGGTAACATCCGATCTCAGCGTACACAAAGAATTCAAAAACATCAGCAGCTACGCCTGACTGGGTCACACTTGCCAGATCAGTAGATGATTGGTGCTATCGTCGCGCCCCGCTGACTCGTTGGCCGCATTATTTCTGAAGTCCTCATAACCGTCACCCCCACTGATCACTAACATCCGCGAGGCCAGCGTGGTGGTAGCTGCCATGGATGAACGTCTGTGTATGCCGTGTAAGGCTAAGTTTTCACTGATACCGTCCTCTTCTTCCCCTCCCTCCACCTTAACCGTGGGGGGAGTCACTGTCATCTCTACACACGTTAAGAATCTCACATGCCCTGTATGTCCATTAACTAACCCTGTAAATAAGAGTTTATCATGTTGTATTCACAAACTTATACATGGATTTTGCATCTAGCATGTATTAATCAAACACAGATCATTTTGCAGCTCATTTCAGAGTTAAGATATTTATGCAATTTGATCCATCAAAGAATTCATATTGTGATATAATTTTCATTTCAATATTTTTAAAAAAATTCATTTTTTACAAAAATCGTACAATCTTAGGTGGGAAAAAATCATGATACTTAAATTACACATCTCAAAAATCAAAGAAAATAGAAATAGTGATAAATTTTTTGAACCATTTTATAAAATGAATCACCACTGACCTGTGACAGTGGGGGCTGGGATTGACCCCCTGGTGGTGGTGGAGGTGATACGAGGCATGGTAATGGTCAGTATCACCCCAGCACTCGTCCCCACCCACAATAGATCCTTACACACCATCAGAGCTGTGATCCGAAGACAGGCAGCTTTATGTTGTCGTATTATGTCATCAGCAGCTGGTAAAGAGGAAAATACATTATCAGTGTGCAAGCTACCAGTACATACTGTAAATATACCTTTTTTATGGGGTCATTATTCAATCTATGTAATTACAATCAGCTCTATTCACATGAAGAAAAATCTGGCAGATTTCTTGGGTTTTATTGTACGTCTTAGATGCACTTTTAGTACACTGGAACAAATTTCACTACTTGCGACTGCACGACCATTTTATTATGAAATAGCTGTTAGCACTCACTCTGAAATGTTTTAGATCAATCCCTATATTAGATTTACATTAAAAATGTTTACAAGATTGTTTAAAAGATATTCATGGTACTTGTACTCAAGTTTTTGGGTCAGTGCTCTATTTAAACTGAAACATTAATTAAAATGTATGAGAAGATAATTACAGTACTTACATTGAAGTTTTTGAGCCACTGCTTGGGCTATACTAACTTCTAGGAGGAATTCATAGGAAGTGGCATGATACAGGAGGAGCTTGGAGCTCTGTTGAGTGGCCATCCATACTCCCTGTCCTGAACACACTAAACATTGAATGCATCGGTCTGAATCCGAGGTCGCCTGGAAAGATGTCTACAAAACAAGGAACCATTAAATACCAAAACCAATTCAAGTCCTGAATACAATAAACAACACTGAATACAGCACTCTGAATCTGAGGTCGCATGGAAAGAAACAACAAACCATTAAAAACTCGAATATACGAAATGAATTCCGATATTTATTAAATGTTATCATTTCAAATATATTTCTCGATATTCAGCATTTAAAGTGAAAATATTCCTAATTTAACAAAATAAATATCTATCAATCATTAAAGATTTCAAGGAAATTTAGTGGTGAAAAAATCTTTCAGAAGGGAAAGGTGACTTAGAGTGCAATGTGGCATATATGTTCCTGTGACAGATTTTGATATGAATCTTTCATGTGTTATCCCATGTCAATTAAAGTAAACTTTTTTTTCAAAGTATCCATATAGTTCATATTGCAAATTTATTTCATATTTGATTTATATGATGCATATTTATCTCCGTTTTCCTTTACCTCTGTACTTAATGTGAGGGGGTTGATGACTTTCATAACATTTTGACAGCCGCACCATAATTTACCGGCAACAGCTAGCATCTTATTTATAGGACTCTGGGCCGTCCCAATACTTCTGGTATATGGATTCTCTGCATCCCATATTCCTTCTGAAAATAATTAACTTTGTTACCTTGAAATCTCAGACAGCCCATGGATCATAACAACTTTTTAAAATCTTGTTTATTTTCAAATGTGAAAATTTGAATTAATGGCTCAAAAAGATGCTTGCATGTTGACAAATTATACCCTTGAAATTCTTCAATTTTATCTTTCAATTTTTACTCCAGAATGTGAATTGCATTATCATTTTTGCCCAGAGGAAATTCCTTATAAACCTATTAAAGGGAGATTACTCTAGTTAACAGTTTTAAATTTGATCTTATCAATAACAATTTACACAACA